AGGGGACAGGCGAACCACAGGGGCGGGGTGAGCCAAACCAAAGGGGGGGTGGCGGATCAACTTGTGGGACGGGCGCCCACGCGAGCGAAGAGGGAGAAGAGCCGTCCCGGTGGCATGGTTCAGCCCTGTCGTCTGCAGCCAGACCACGTGCGTTCCGATCGATCGTGGGATTCGGGCATGGGGCGGAGCGGGGCGGAGTGGGATCGGGGAGTCTGGGAGAGTGGCCGGCTTGGGGGGAGTTTGACGATATCGACGCTGCTCTGGACGATTGATGCTTATGCGTTGGTGACCTGCGAATGTGGCTTTGCGAGTCCACGTCCATGAGTTGAGCTCCGGCAGCGTCACGATAGATGTGTCACTGTACGTTTATGATTTTAGAGAACAATTCATTTGTATGCATGATGCATGTTAGACTATATGGGTATATCTCCTCTGCCGTTCTATGTAAAATGGAGCGCTTTCAGTGCCACACAAATATCCGTTAGATGGCGATATTCACCGGTCAACAGAGAGAAAAGTAGTTATATTAGCCTAAAGTGCCACTTACCAGGGAGTTCTTCAGGATCTATGTCAATGCCTGCGTGAACTACGTATGCATTGTGAAATGTTTGCCTTCGCTCCGATGCTCTGCATGTCCTGACAAGTATGCCAGCCGAGTCAATGGAAAGACTGGAAATTCGCCCGCTTGTTTTCCGTACCAAGTACCGCATCTTTGCTTCATTGACGAGAACATACTTGGGGTAGTTTGATCTAATGATTCTGCGGAATCTGTGGATGGTTGTATGACAAGTGAATGCAAGAATCAAAAGCAGACTACCGGAGGTTTCCCTTGAAGCTGCTGCTGGGTGAAATAATGGGCGTTTTTCGATACTTAAATTCAACGAAAACGATCTGTCATCTGAATCCGTTGATGTGAGTTGGCGATACGGTTGTAGCATGTTCAAACTACACTTGAGCGTGAAGTCAAGGTCGATATTGCCCGGACCAATTGGAGATGTTGAAGTGACTTCCAACTGACCCCGAGGAGCCTCCAAGTCAGTCACAACCGCACTCCCAGAAGCAGTTGAAGCAACTCCAAACTCACCTAGAAAGACAGATCGTTCCAGACTGTTTGTTTGGACCACGGAGCTCTTTTCGTTTCCGCCGACCAGCCAGCCGCCCGCTCCGCCACCTTCTCAAGATCTTCCTGTCAAGTCGACAACTTCCTCCCTCATCCCTCCACCAACACCAAAACTTCCATCTCTTCATCCTCTCTACTTGACTCCTTCTTGCTCGTCAAACCAGCACAACCATAGCCATGACTAAAAAGAAGCACCACAAGAAGGTCAAGCACACCAAGCAGCCGAAGCGCGAGCACGAGCCCGAGCCCAAGCCTGCTCCCAAGTCTGCCGCTCCTCCCGTCGCAGAGAGTAACTTGAGGGACGACATCCACGCGCCCGATGCCGACGATCCTGCGCGTCTCACGGCGCTGGGCCTCATGGTCAACGACGACCGATTCGACACTCGCGTCGCGCTCGTCGAAGCCTTGCGCGAGTTGAGGATGGGCGAGCGCCCCGAGCTCAAGAAGCTGCTCATCTCGCCGCAGCAGCACCTGGCGCCACAACTGCCGCCGGAAGAAGCGCCTCGCCTGCTTTCGGGCATCGGCAACGGCACGTTCGTGAACCGGGACCTGACCAATCTTCGGCTCTGCGATGCCGTCTGCACGCTCCTCCATAACCTGCTCGAAGGCGAGATGCATTGCCAGCGGTTCTGGAACGTGGTTGACTACAAACACATCAACTACACCCTCACCGTCAAGAACAGCCGTATCTTCCCCCATCAGATGTCAATCCGCCGCTGCGGTAACGACGTCTTCGTAAGTGCCCACAACGCGCACCGTGTGAGATCTCCAGCTAACCCCAGCAGGTCATCCAACAGGACGGAGAGGAGAAGACCATCCACGGCCTCTGCTTGAATATGAACCGTGCTCTTGCCTGGACGCCCTCCGGCCTCTTTACCATGGTGGATGGCCGCGGCGAATTCCTGCCCAGGCCGATGGAGGAGATGAGGGAGTTGGAGCGCGAGATTGGCCTCCACATCCTGCGCAACAAGCTGTGGGAGGCGTGCGAGTTCCGCACTTGGGACGTCAACGTCGAACTGTACAACAAGCCCGGCGAGACCCCCGACAGCCCGCACCCTAAGCTGGCAGCCGCTCCCGGCCAGCCTCCGCCCGAGCAGCCAGACCACCCACCTCATCCCCAGCACTCGCGTCTGCCGCTGGCAGTGCCGCAGCTGGGGAGCCCGGCTGTGGAGTACAGTCAGCCAATCCCGCCGCCGCCACCAGAGCTCCGTGAGTATAACTGAGTGCCGCACAAGTTTCTGCCCGATGATCAAGTCCGCATTGATGTTCTGCTTGTCTAGGGCCCGCGCTCCACATCGAGGACGACCACATGGTCACGTCCGTCTTGCGTCCATCTCCTGTTGGGCCCTAGGTTCCTGGACCGGCTCCCGAGCAGACGACTCCTGCTCAATAGGATGAGAGTGCGGCGAAGGATGGGTTGTTGGGCGCTTGCAGGTCGGGTGGAGTCGTTGCCTCAGTGGGCTACATGGGTATTACGTAGGACCTGATGAATCACACCGTCAGCGGTCTTTGTGGTGGCAGGCTCGGCTCTCGTATGTAGTAACTGGCACTTCAAATCCATCCTGTGCGGCTTTGCGCGATTGGTGTAGGAGGTGGGACGTCGCAGGGCAGACGACGGTGAATTTCTTCCCCACGATCGGCAAGACCCCAGCACTATTGACCCTTCCACTCTGCCCATCATACGGTACTTCGACAACGTGCAATTGAAAATGTCTCGATTCTGGAGAAGTCGGTTTATTCGCTCGTGGTATTAATCTATTTAGATTCTAGATCCCACGGTGGATTTCCTCCCCACGATCGGCAGGACCCCAGCATCATTGACTCTTCCACTCTGCCTATCAGACGGTACTTCGACAACGTGCAATCAAAACGGGCTCAACTCTGACGAAATGGTTTGTTCGCTCGTGGTATTAACTTATCCAGATTCCTCCTCTCTCATATTAGCAGGATACTCGTTTACTTTTTGTACAACGTGCAAGAGTACCACACAGCAAATGACACGATCTCATATTGCAGTCTAAGTCCCTCGCTCGTGGCGTGTCATCTATTCAGATTCAAGATCCTATCTTCTAATCTCTAACCATCTTTCTTTCCTCTTCTCTACATCCAAGGTATCGAGGAAAAAAAAAAAAAAGAAGTCTGCGCAAACTCCAACACTAGAAAGCGACTACCTCTCTCTACAACCTCGCCCTAAACTTCTCATTCTCCCTCTTCAGCGGATCCGCCTCCTCATTACTCTTGCCCTCAGCGCCCGGCTTCGAGCTCTTCTTCGGCGCACTGTGATACCCACCCCTCTCATTATCGGCATTGGTAATCCTGCCCTCAGCATCGCGCTGAATGCCCAGCTCGATCAACTTGGCAAACACCTTTGCGAAATGCTCAAAGAACAGATCCTTATCCTCGGCATACCTCTCCACCCACACCCTGAACTTGGGATCATCCACCAGCGCCATATCAGTCGGCAACATCATAAGCTCCTCCTCCGTATCTTCGTCCACATACGCAAACTGCTTGATCCCCGACGGCAGCGTCTTCGGCTTCCACGTCAGATTCTTGAGCAGCCTGAAATACTGATTGCTGAACCTCGTCGGATTGTTGACCCACGCCCCCTCGAACCCACTCCGATCCGCATGGCAGCGCCCTAGATTATGCGCCCCGCTCAACGCGACAATCTCCTGGTCGTTGAAGCCCATGCGGTAGAAGACGGCGCGGACGTGGTCGGCGCCGAGGGCGCCGTCGGGGAGGCGGCCGCGTGGTGGTAGCTTGGAGTCGTCGACGAAGTCGGTGCGGCCGGGTTTCCAGGCTATGGATGGGCCGCCCATTTCTTTGATGGCGACCACGCCGGCGAGAGTCCAGAGGTCGGCGTAGGTTATCCAGGAGTGTTTGGACTTGATGGGCTCGAGGAAGACGCGGGCATGCTGGAGGCCTGTTGGGATGGTTAACGGGTGTCTTGGGATGCTGTGTGGCCACGCCGTACCTGCGTTCGATGGATCTCCGCCCTCCTGTTCATAACGCATGCCGGCGCCGTTGGAGCCACCGGTGTCAGTCTCGGCGTCATATGTGCCAGCGGAGTGCCTGTCGATGTCAGCCACTGTGACGCGGGTACACTCCATGTCTCAGGAGAAAGTGGACTCGGAACTCACCATGCCAGACGAACGAGTACAGGGCCCGCACTGCCGTCGTCGTATTCCGGTTGATGGAGCAGCTTCACGATATCCTTCCGAACGGCGTCGTAATCTCCCGTCTTACTCATTATCTTCCGTCTAATCGTTTCTCTCGACCGATCTAAGCGTAGTCTAGCAATGCAATGTCTATTATTGCACAAGCAAGGGGAACAAGGAATCTATGCGCCAATCTATTGTACGCGACAGAAAAAGTCTATGCAGTCTGAAACGAAGGTAGTCGACGGTCTATAAAGAGAAGCGAAAGAGGCGAACGGAAGAATTAGGAGAGGCGAGAGGCACATGGTGGAAGGTGGTCGGGAACGATGATGATAAGATTGTAGATGCCGAGGCTCGAGCCGCTGGAGCGAAGGCCGACGGGAGGCAGGGAGCGCATGCAGGTCCGGGCCAGGAACGGGCAGGGATGACGAGGCCCCGAATCACATGAAAGATTATCAAGCAAGCACTCCATCAGCGTACCAACTCCTTGACCATCGAGAAGAACGGAAAACTACCACCGGACACCATCTCTCTCCCTCTTCCGTGGTCGAAGAGTGTGGTCCATGCAGCACAACCCTTTGTTCCACAAGGAACTAACTCCCTTCGCGTCCACTACCACAGCAACACCAGCAAATCTGCGTATTTGTTGTCTGATTATATTGTCTAGACCCGGATTATTCCTCATCAAGCAAGGCTTCGCCCGCCCTGTTTCCCTCCCAGTCGAGGTGGTGTAGTTGGTTATCACGTCTGTCTAACAGATCTCTCTCCATCAATAGGAGTTGAGTTTCTGAGCACAGAAGGTCCCGAGTTCAAGTCTCGGCTTCGATACATTTTCTTTTGCGTTTTGGAGTAGAGGGGTGATCATTTTGTGGGTGTGATGCGTCACGGGAGAATACTTTTTCCCTGGGTCCCTTGAAGGGACCGGGGATTGGCCGATGGGGGAACCAGAACTGCACTATGATTGGTGGGATAGTTGATCGCTCTTCTTTTTGCTGTGCATAGTACGGGTACTACATATTGAGTCGATTGAAGTCTAGAGGACTGACCATTCCATTCCTCCCAATTAGGAGAAATGACAACGTGGGATAATTATGGGAAAGAAGTGGAATACAAGCATCGCAGTACCCTGCACAGAGCGGGAGACGGTGGTTTTCTTAACCACGGCCACCTACTCGTCCCTACAGATTACATATCAACTTCGGGGTTGACTGCAGTCAGGCTGATTTACATGGAGGCCAGCTCGAGTCCGTCCTTCGGCAGTCGGCGGGTGGAAGGCGGGGTCCCCAGACGGGCCGCCGCGGGCTGGAGCCCCCCAGAGACAATCTCTCCAGCCTCAACAAGCGGCCCAAAACAGCATCTCTTGCGGCGGAAGCACCGGGGCAGCGGGGGTATATGTCCTGAAGGTGGTGATTCCGTACTCGTACGAGGTGCCCGTTAGCTAGGTGTAGACGAGAAAGGCCAAGGCCCGAGGTCAGATCAGCACAGCTCTCCAGCGTGGACCTCGGCCCAGAGACCGATGAATCAACATGCACATCCCGCCATCGCCTTACTCTGACCCTCACCTCGCATCAACACACCTCGCCCTCGCCCTCACCACCAACTCATCCAATCCACCCACAGACGACGCAATGGCCGGCGAAAGACTCAGCAACATCCTCTCGCACATCACACCCGCCCGCAGCGGCATCTCCGCCATGTGAGTCGCCTGAGCTTCTCCGCAGTTACCCCGTTCCCCGCAAAAGCAGTGGGCAGGAGATGAGACCGCAAGAGGAGAGACGAGAGACGGAGACGAGAGACAGAGACGAGAGACGAGAGACGAGACCACAAGTGCTTGAAGCAAAGCTGATCCGCACATAGCACGCAGAAAAACCCCGACGATGTGGTCATCACGCTTGCGATCCGGACGCCATTGACAAAGGCCAAGAAGGGCGGGCTCAAGGACACGCCGCTCGACGGCATCGTGTTCAAGTTGCTGGAGCAGGTGGTGCAGCGGTCGCGGTTGGACCCGCAGATGGTTGAGGATGTGTGCTTGGGGAATGTGAGTTTCTCGACCTCACCCTTCTGTCGTCCTCGTCGTCGCTCGTCATCGTCCCACTGACACGCAACAGGTCAGCGACTCCAAAGCCTCCTACTACACCCGAGCCGCCCTCCTCGCCGCCGGCTTCCCCACCACCACCGCCGCCTCCACCTGCAACCGCTTCTGCAGCTCCGGCCTCAAAGCCGTCCAAGACATCGCCAACCAAATCGCCTGCGGCAACATCGCGTGCGGCGTCGCCATGGGCGCCGAGTCCATGACCGCGGGCGGCGACCGCCTCGAGCGCCCCTTCTACCCCGAGATCCTGCGCTCCCAGGACGCGTGCGACTGCATGCAGCCCATGGGCCAGACGTCGGAGAACGTGGGCAACGACTTCAACATCAGTCGCGAGTCGCAGGATCGGTACGCGGCGGAGAGTTACAGGCGCGCGGAGGAGGCGCAGAAGAAGGGCTGGTTCGAGGACGAGATTGCGCCCATCAACGTGACGGTCAAGGATGCGAAGACGGGCGAGGAGAGCAAGACGACGCTGACAAAGGACGAGGGACCGAGATGGGGGACCACGTACGAGGCCTTGGCCAAGATCCGTCCAGCGTTTTTGCCGCACGGCGACAAGAGCCACGGTGGCAACAGCTCGCAGTTGACGGACGGGGCGGCGGCGATATTGCTCATGAAGCGCAGCAAGGCGATTGAAATGGGTCAGCCGATCCTAGCCAAGTACGTGTCGTCGACGGTGACGGGACTGGCGCCGCGCATCATGGGCATCGGCCCCTCGCTCGCCATCCCGAAGCTTCTCTCCCAGCTCAACATCTCGATGGACGACATCGACGTGATTGAGCTCAACGAGGCGTTCGCGTCGATGGCGGTGTACTGCTTGAACGAGCTGAAGATTGATCCGGCCAAGATGAACGTTCGGGGCGGGGCGATCGCGCTGGGGCATCCGCTCGGGTGCACGGGGGCGCGGCAGATTGTGACGGGGTTGAGCGAGTGCAGGAGGCAGAAGAAGCAGATTCTGTTGACGAGCATGTGCATCGGGACGGGCATGGGGATGGCGGGGTTGTTTGTGAATGAGCAGCTGTAGGGTGGTGGGGGTGTGGGAGTGTGGGAGTGTGGGAGTGTGGGAGTGTGGGAGTGTGGGAGTGTGGGAGTGTGGGAGTGTGGGAGTGTGAGATGCGTGTGCATGGAGCTAGCTGGTGGTCAATATGGGTGGGTGTATACAGTACCACTCCTGCTTGACCTTTTGACACTGTGAGGGTGTGGTGTGGCAGTCATCAACATCATCAACATCAACAACATCAACAACATCCAAGTTTGTCAACATATCAGTCCTCTGGCCAAGCTTTGCACAGCCCCCCTTGGCAGTGTCGTCCCGCTCCCACCTCCGTCATCCCAATTGGCTTGAGCTGTCGAATGGCTGTCGAGTGGGTCGAGTGGCCGTCGAATCCCTGCCGTCCATCAGTCAAGCTCTCACAAGTTGAACAAGTTGACCAAGTTGACCAAGTGGACCAAGTTGAACAAGAAGTCGCATCAATTGCACCGTTGCATTTGTTGCACTGCCTCCCTCCGCCCTCCACCCCAGTGTCCACCCGCCTGTCGTCCAGCCTGCTCGCTGCCCGCCTTACTTACAGCTGCTCCTTGCACACCCCACCACCACCACCACCACCACTACCACCACCCCAAACATCCACCTGTCAGCAGTTGGACCAGCTGCCCGAATCCCTTCAACCGCTGTCCTTTCCCGCTGACTTGATAGCAGCCATGGGTACGTACGTCTTCAATCCTCCGCGGCGGGGATCCATCTCCCGCTACAATCCGGTCCGTCTTCGCCCACAATCTCTGCTGCTCCCTTGGCACCACCAGCACCCGTGGCCGAATCGACATTGATTATCTGCCCTGTCAACTACACATACCCAATCCTTGACATCACTCTCCTTTTGACCACGCGCCGTCCTTTGCACCTCCGCTCATCAGCCTTATCACTTCCACTCCTCCCATCATCTCTCAGTCGCTCCTTTGAACATCATCTCTGCTGCGCCCGAGGGACCAAGACCCCCCCAGCCACAGCCTCTTTCCGTCATCTTGTCTTGGCCGCGCTATCTAGGCCGCCCCGCTAACCCGCCTGTCTTGCCGTCCTTATAGTCGTGTACAAAGGTCAAGCTCAGAGGGAGCACCGCCGCGAAAGCTTCCGCCGCTCCCAAAGCTCCAGGAACAACAACACCATGCCCGCCAACGGCAACTCCGTCGGCGAGCAGACGCCGCTCATCAATGGCAACGCTGACCACCACGATGCGCACGACAACCACATCAAGATCTGGGGCGAGGAGGACAGCCGCGTCTGGGTCAAGTGGCCGAAACATGCCGCCCACGTTACCTGGCTGACGCTCGCGAGCAACTACGTCAACTTCCTCTTGGTCTTCGTGCCTCTGGGTGTCATCGCCGGCGTGCTGGACTGGAGTCCCGTCGCCATCTTCGTTCTTGTGAGCGCTGGCAGTGCTGTGGTCGCATAATGCGAGGCTGACGCCGCGCAGAACTTCATCGCCATCATTCCGCTTGCGTCGCTGCTGAGCTTCGCGACCGAGGAACTGTCGGCCAAGCTCGGCCAGACCATCGGAGGTCTGATGAACGCGACGTTTGGAAATGCTGTCGAGTTGATCGTCAGCATTGTGGCGTTGAGACGGGGCGAGATTCGCATCGTGCAGTCGTCCATGCTGGGCAGCATCCTCTCCAACATCCTGCTGGTAAGTACATCAGTCCGCCGTCTCTGACAGCTCCCATGCTCACCAACACCAGGTCCTCGGCTGCTGCTTCCTCGCCGGCGGCATCCACCACCGCGAGCAAACCTTCAATGAAACCGTCGCGTCGACCATGTCCTCCCTCATGGCCGTCGCCAGCGCCTCCCTCATCATCCCCGCAACCCTGTACGCCGCCCTCCGCACCTCCAAATCCAGCTCCGAAGACCACATCCTCGTCCTCTCGCACGGCACCGCCGTCATCCTCCTCATCCTCTACATCCTCTACCTCTACTTCCAGCTCTACTCCCACAGCTCCATGTTCGACGCCGAGGCGCAGGAAGGCGAAGAGGACGCTCCAGCCGAAGGCCAGATCCTGAACCCCATCGCCGCCGGCATCGCCCTCGTCGTCATCACCGTCCTCGTCGCCGTCTGCGCCGAATACCTCGTCGACAGCATCGATGCCATTGTCCAAAAAGCGCACATCTCAAAAACCTTCATCGGTCTCGTCCTGCTGCCCATCGTCGGCAACGCGGCCGAACACGTCACCGCCGTCACGGTCGCGTACAAGGACAAGATGGATCTGGCCATCAACGTGGCGATCGGCAGCTCCATGCAGATCGCGCTGTTTGTCACGCCTTTCTTGGTTATTCTGGGCTGGTGCATGGGACAGCCCATGACGTTGCACTTCCAGAGTTTCGAGACCGTCGTCTTCTTCCTCAGCGTGCTGGTGGTGAACTACCTGATCCAGGACGGCAAGAGCAATTATCTGGAGGGCGCCATGTGTATTGGAACGTAAGTTGCCGACGACGACGACGCTCCCCCCGGCTTTCTGGCTTCTTCGCCGTACGTGCTGACGCTGGTTGTTGCAGATACGTCATCATCGCCCTCGCCTTCTACGTCTACCCCGACGACGCCGGCGACATCGGCTCCATGGTCTCTGGCCTCTTCAGCAGCGCCACCGCCGGCACTGCCTAAGGCGATGCCCGTCGGACTGATCTACCCGAATCTCATGCACTAGCCACCACGCAGCGACGATGACTTTTCCGCCTTCTTTCCTAGGTTGT